TTTTTTTTTTTTTTCCTAAAAATCTTTGTGTCTTAGGCTTGTGCCTTGTGGGATCTTATTAAGTCAGATATGAACTATAAAATAACAGCACAAGAGGAAAGGCAACACCACATGTCAAACCGAGAACTGATATACGAAAATAAAATTATTTGCATTAGTACTAAATATTGAAACACAATGAATAAGACATTAAAGGTCAAGTGGATATATAAAGACTTACAAAATTCGATAATCAGTTTCATGTTGATAACAATTGATATAGATTTAAGTTCATCAAAATAATTTTTTTATTTAAGTTCATCAAAATAATTTTTTGGTTTAAGATTTAAGTTCATCAAAATAACTACTTGAAGTCTTGAAGACTTGAATTAGAGTTCATCAGAAAACTTACGGTTACAATGTTCAGTGTCCAGAAGAGAGAGAGAGAGAGAGAGAGAGTGTGTGGACAGAGTCACAGACGAACAGAGAGCGAAGGACAGAGGAACTGAGTCTTGAACTTTAATTTTTTGAGGAAAAAAAGCTTATGCCTGTTCACCGTTGCAGTCTTGCTGCTCTTGTAGGGGAGACTGGAAAGAGAGAATGAGAATTTGGATTTGGATGGAGGCAAGGTTCAATTTTTCAAGTGATATGCTTGCCCTAATTTTATTTATTTATTTATTTATTTTTTGAGACCCCTTTTTGTTACATTTGGTTAGACTTTTTTTTTTCTATTTTTTGGTAGCCCATCATTCCTGAGGCCTTTTGCTGAGGTTATAATTTTTTTTTTTTTTGGTGGCCCAACATTCATGGGCCTATAAATTTTGATTTACTACATTTGGTTATAATTTTTTCTTTTTTGTGGCCCATCATACATGGGCCTATAAATTTGGAGGCCCCTTATATTCTGAGGCCCTAGGCGACTGCATTGGTCACCTTGGGCCAGGGCCGGCCCTGCTCTACGATGAGCAGATTTTATCACTAGTAATAAAATGAAAAAAATTGTTATTATAATGATAAAATTTTATTTGTTTAAATTTCGTTACATTTACTTATAAATTATAGTACCAAATTCGACAGCGCTGAAATTTACCAACGTGACTAAAGAAAATTGTTTATGCAATGAGGTGAGGGCGCTCATACATCACATCTTTCCTAGATGCAAAAGCTTCTATTCCCACCACCACAAACAATTTTCTTTTTTAAAGATTAATACCTGATATTGATTTATTATTAATCTAATAAAAATCTTGAGAAGATTTAACACATTTTTGTATATATATATATATATATGATTTGATACTAACTTGTCATCACACAAGTTAATAAAATTCCAAGAATAGTAGTTTCTATTTAAGGCAATCTCAGAAGGTGTTCAACTTTCACAATACTTTCAGATATTAGAAACATGGGTCCAAGTTATTTACCCCAATAAATAAATAAAATAAAATAATAATAATAAAATATTCGATCCAAGTTGATGTTCGTTGTTAGATTAATTTCTAAAAGAATATCACAGTTTGACTTATGTTGATTATACTTGTAAAAAATATTTTTATAAAATAAAATTAAAGTAAAAATACATTAACCACCTCTCAACTATTGACTTGTTGTAAAATGCACCCCTTAAGTTATTAATTGTTGTAATTAGGCCCTTCAACCACTGAGTGACTAAAGTCTAACCTATGACCATTAAATGAGCTAAAATTACATATAAAAAAAACCCTTAAACTTCTTGTCTCATGTGCTCTGTAATTTGATTTTTGCCTAGTTTTTTTATTATTATTATGATTATTATTATTTTATCTTAATAGATAAATCTTGCGTACCTCCGTCCAATAAAAAACTCCAAATTTCAACCTTTCATTTTGAACAAAGAAAACTTGGGCTAAATCATGTAGCAAGCAAATCACTGTTCAAATGATGAAGGTTGGTGTAGGAAAAAAAAAATGGTTTGGTAAATATTAAAACCTTAGATGCCGAGGGCTTCCTCATCTTCTCAATTACACAAAAGAACACTTTTCAAACACTTATTTGCACCATGCTCCTCTTTATTTGATCTTTCAACTTGGGTTCGAGTACCATGGTATATGGTACAAATCTATCATTCAAACTTAACAGTCTAATCGAGTAATTTTTATTTATTAGAGCAAAGTGCAATAAACCTCTCAACCATTTGCGTTTTAAAATAAATTCCTCCCGGACTAATTTTTTGTAAAAAAAAATTCCTCCAACTATCCAAGAGGGGTAACATAGTGAATGGGAGTGGATGAACAAAAAAAATTGAGACGAAAATGCCACTATTCCTATTATATAGGAAAAATTGCACAAAACCCCCATCTACTTTGAATTATTTGCAAGAAACCTCCTTGAGCAAAAAAGTTCACATAAAACCCCCTTAACTATCCAATTTGTTGCAAAGTGATGTTATAATGACTAAAGTGACTCCTGATATAAATTTAATAAAATGGTGCTCCTTAATATTAAATTAAAATTAATACAAACTCATTTTGCATATTGTTATTATAAAAAAAATGATTCGCTAAAGCAATAAAATTTAAATCACAAACAGATAAAATTTAAATCACAAAAAGTATGATTAGGAGCAAGAGCGCGTGTAGAATGTGAGAGTAGGAAAGCGCGGAGCGTGAGAGTACCATATATTTAAAAGAATCAGGTGACTTAGGTACCAGCTTCAGTAAATGGGCCTAGGTAGGATAGGACTACATCACTGTGTAAACATAGAGAGAGAAAGAGATGGGCCTAGATAGATGGGCTATAATTTCACAGATAATGGCCCACTTTTTACTGTTTCCACTGGGAAGGTTTGTTTTTTTGCACCCACAATTAAAGGATCACATTAGGTGATTGGACCCATTTGGAGATGGGTGAACCTGTTGTGATCCTGGTCTGGTGCCTTTTGGGGTGCCCTCACTTGTTTGATACCAAAATGTACGTACCCATGTTCATGGTAGGGTGCACACTGATGCAGTTCAAATCATGATTTGATCTTAACCAATTTAATTTGCACGGATTGGTTTGGTTTTGAAGGCAAATCCATTTGATTACGGATTGAATTTTAGTAGAATCGGTCATAATTAAACAAAGTTTTTTTTTTTTTTTTACAGTTTTCTAATTTTCAATTCTTTGAAAACATAAAACTGTTTTATGAGTGACAAATTAAATACGTTTAACTTACATTTTGCCCTAATCTCTCTGTCGCATGGCCCACCTAAGGACGCGCTTCGCCCTCCGTACCCACTGCAAACTCACCAAACTTTCATCGATCAAATTATTGAGGTAGATCATACTTATAGGTTGAATTCAATGACTGAGATGTTGAAGTTGTGTCTAAAATACCAAAATGGCTGTTGATTTGTATTACTATGATGTTAACATATAACGACCTGAAAATTACAAAAAATTGTTAAAGATTCTCTCAATATTTTTATGATTTAACAAATAAATAAATAAAAATTGTGGTGTGCTTTAAGATTTTATCCCATGTCGGGCAGTTTTTCAATTAGTTAATAGTATTATTTATACATCTAAAATGTATTTGAGTTGGAATTATATTAACCAATTTTAAGGGCAATAAATATATATATATATATATATATATATATATATATATATATATATATATATTACTAGAAATTTTTGGATAACCATTGTCTTAGATCCGAGTGCTAAATTTGGAACTTTAGAAAGTTGGTTAGAAATTAATTATAGTTTTTTTTACAATAACTTAACTTCTTTTTTTTTATAAAAAAAGTAACAATATAGTGTGGGACATGATAGATTTCACAAAACATGGAAGGCTAGTCCTCCTCATCCTCCACACCTAGGCCATGGATTTTACTCAAAATCAGAAAAAACTACTGGTTGTAGTCGCACTTCTAGTAGAAACTTGGCTGAATTATAGAAAATAATTAATGGTATTGTTGGTATTCAATTTCTTAGGACATCTCATAATCCATCATCCAGCACATGAAAGGTCCACGACGAATAATTTGTTCCTGTCAAGATAATATCAAGGAATATTTGTATGTAAGCCCAATGGGCTAAGGCCTGCGCTGACAAGCCCAGGCCCATTGTTCACACACTCATAGTCTCGAACTGTTTTTTGGCCCTTTTGGAGGGGTATATATGGCATTTTGCAAATTACCACGGTCAAAAAATATCTTATACCTGGAAATGTAGGTGCAATACACGCGCCATAGAAACAGAGTGGTGAGAAAGAATGGTCCACAAATTTGAGGCACTGTTTGAGAAGGGCATTCACCACTATAAGAACAAAAGTGGCAAATGGTGGGCCTATCCCGTACTCTTGGATTGGACATTTCTGGAAAGTTTTTCCTTTTATTGCCATTATTCCCTTTTCCCTCTTCTGAGACCAACCCTCCTACTGCCCTTCTGCATCAACCCTGACCCTCAATAATTCTCACCTTTATCCCCAAAATACCCCTCCATATTCCCCCTTCTTACCACTCCCCCCTCCCAAATGGTAAAAACAAGGTGAAACATGAATGAACATGTAAGTTGCAAATGTCATCCTCTTGTACCATCAAAGAGAAATAAATAAATAAATAAATAAATTTAAAAATATATATATTGGATATACCATGTCGGTGAAAATAAAGAGAAGATATTAGGTGTGTCAATTGATATGTTTACTCAATAGCAACTGAGTATGTCAGTGATTAATACTTTAACTCAATGAAAAAGCACTATACCAGTATTTTATTAGCATGTTTTACCCGTGGGGGAGAAAATTTGTATAAATTTGTATCTATTGAGTGAACATATAATTACATGGTATGTATAACACACATGAGGTCTAGAATAAAAGGGAGGTGAGTTGTGAACTAGTGAATGAGTGAGAATGAAGGAATTGATATAATCAACTTGTAGACAATAGCTAATAATGGTAAGAGAGTAATTAGTCATCCTTTTAGACTTTGCCTGTCCATTTCTATTATTTGAGTAATATATATACCATACATATCTAGAGAGAGAGTATGCTTTTCGATTCGGTTAACGTGGGAAAGTTATTTCTTAGAAAAAGATAGTTCTTTCACGCCCATTTTCTTCCATTCAACAACTAATCAGAAAATTAATTAAAAAACACAAAAAATAAAAAATTATAGATTTTGAGTATCAGTAAAGTAGAAAAGTTGAAAGAAAGAGAGCGAGGGTTTAATATACAGGCCAATATATTCTGACACATATATATATATATATAGATAGATAGTGAGAATGAATGAAGTTAATGAATGACTAGCTAAAAAAGAGAAAAAGTAAAAGAAAAAAAAAACGAAGAGTTTAGAGAGAGGAGAGAGGAGGAGGATAATAAGCTATGGCTGCTGCTTTCGGCTAAGCTTCCTTAAACTGGCCTCGTCTATGCCGTATTGGGTAGTTAGGGTTTTGTTGTTTTGAGTACTCAACTTACAGTTCCATTAAATCATTATTTTATTTTCCCATATCTATATAGGGAGAGAAAGTGGAGAGAGAGAGTCTATGGCCAAAACCCCAAAATTCTAGTTGTGATCATAAATCTAAGCTCGACCCAAAAATTATATTTCATTTATATCTATATATATGAGTTTTGGAGATCGCAATAGTAGAGAAATGTGGGATCTAAACGGCTCGCCGGAAAATAGAAACCATGATGAATCAGAAGTGTGTTCTTCGCCGGTGGACGGCGAGGACGAGAAGGGTAAACGGGTCGGATCTGCCTCGAATTCGAGCTCGTCTGCGGTGGTAATCGAGGATGGTTCGGAGGAAGAAGGAGACCGGGTCCAAAGAAAACGGAGCAGCAAGATATTCGGGTTCTCCTTTAATAACTGCTCGTCGGAGAGCGATCCGCCGGTGACCCACCAGTTCTTTCCGGTGGACGATCCATCGGAGCCGGGTACAGCAGCATCGGGCGGTATCGGTGTCGGTGCAAGAGGAGCAGCATGTTTTCCAAGAGCTCACTGGGTCGGAGTCAAATTCTGCCAGTCGGATCCTCGCATCGGAGCTGCCGGAAAATCCATAGAGTTTTCGCAGCCTCTGAAGAAGAGCCGCCGTGGACCGAGGTCTCGAAGCTCACAATACAGAGGTGTTACCTTTTACCGGAGAACCGGCCGGTGGGAGTCACATATATGGTTAGTGTAGTGCACACACCACACACACATAACTATATATTGATGAAGTATATATATATATTCATAATTTTAGCTAGGACTTGTTTTGATTTACTTGATACGATTCAATCTTTACATTTTTGTATGATTGTTTTTTATACAGGGATTGTGGAAAACAGGTTTATTTGGGTATGTTTCTGTTTTGTTTTTTTTTCTTTCTTTAATTTGGGAAAATTGATTTCTTTATGTATTTGGCTAAGATTATGAAGAAAAACAAGTTTTTTCTTTGTTTTTATTTTTTTATTCTGATATTTATGAGATGGGTTTTGTGTTTTTGATGTGTATAGGTGGATTTGACACTGCACAAGCAGCTGCACGGTAAGCTTGTAATTAATGTAACATTATTTTGTCTGTGAGAAAATGAGCAAGAAAAAGAAATTTTCTCAGGAAAATGTGAGACTGATGGGTGGGAAATGTTGTTTGTCAGTGCATATGATAGGGCAGCTATCAAGTTTCGCGGAGTAGAGGCAGACATAAATTTTAGTCTTGAAGATTATGAGGAAGACTTGAAACAGGTAGTGGAACTGTGTGAGAGAGAGAGTGAGAGAAAGAGGAGAGAGAGAGAGAGAGTCTTCTTTAGATTCACCTTATCTTCTACTGTACTGCCTTATCTTCAACAGTTTCATTTCTGATATGCTTTATTCTACTTTTTTTTTCTTGTATATATATTCATTAGATTCTTACAATGTTGTTGTATAAATTGTTACAGATGACTAACTTAACTAAAGAGGAATTTGTGCATGTACTGAGGAGACAAAGTACTGGTTTCCCAAGAGGAAGCTCCAAATATAGAGGTGTGACCTTGCACAAATGTGGAAGATGGGAGGCTAGAATGGGCCAATTCTTGGGCAAAAAGTAATAGTATCACATTCTCATCATCCCATTCTTTGTATCTATTTATTATATATAAGAATCATATGTGTCTCGCTACCCATCACATGTTATTTTCTTTGCTTCTCATCACTTTTATTAATAATAATACTCATTTTGAATTTGAATTTCACAGGTATGTGTATTTAGGTCTCTTCGATACTGAAATTGAAGCTGCTAGGTATGTTTCTGCACTATTTTTATTAATTTCTCGAATAATAAATCATTCTCAAACCTAACCGTCTAACCGAGAGTGCTGGTTCAGAAATTACTATCCCTTGGATGCAGTGAATCTCGGTTTGAATTTTCGTTTAGATGGCATTACATGTACTTGTTAAAAGTGGATTAAGTTAGGTTTTTTTGTTGGTTCTTGAAATCTTTGAAAAAGTGGATTTAGGTTTTTTTTTGTTGGTTCTTGAAATGTTGGGTACGTTTTTTTTTAGGGCTTATGACAAAGCTGCAATAAAATGTAATGGCAAGGATGCTGTCACCAATTTTGATCCCAGCATTTACGAAAATGAGCTCGATTCTAAGGGTAATTTATGAACATTTTTCCTTGATATATGAAAGATCATTTTACATACAAATTTTTTTCTTTTCCCTTTTATTTATTTATCTATTTTTTTGTTAATTACATACAATTTCAACTTTTATTAAATATATATTGGCCAGAATGTGCTGAGAATGGGAATGGGAATGAGGCAGGCCACAATCTTGATTTGAGCTTGGGCAGTTCAGCCTTGAAGCAAAAAAATCACGGTTTTGGGATTGACATCCAAAATGCAGCAATGGAACAGCATTCTTCATCTATGCCTTATGAATTTGATTGGCGTAGCCGCGGATTTATGCCCATGGTACATAAATACGGTTCTGTCCGGTTTAAATTTTGAACCTATTAGGTTAACTCCACACACACACACTAATGTAATATTTAATCCCCTTTTCATGTAAAGCAGCTTAATAAGAGTGATGTCCAAAGAAGAGATGGATACAATGAGACTGAAACTTTGCACATTCTTAGCCAAACACACCTTCACTCTCCAAGCTCATTGAAGAGTACCCCTAATGAAATGCAAAGATACGGGCAATTTGCGAAAGCCAGTGAGCCCTATATGCTTCACATGTATCCACCTCAGTTCGGCTCATCAAATTATCAGGTGGCTATTGATAATTAACACACATTTCATCATGTATGTACTCAAATAATTAGACTCTTAATTAATCGGCTCGTGACAGCATTATTATTTTTCTCAGATTCAATTTCCAAGCAGCAGCAACGGAGGCCAAATCATCAATGGAGGAGAGCTTTCTCTCTCTACAAGTAATCAACAACCGCGTTCCAACCCGCCGCCCCAATTGTTTGCAACTGCTGCAGCATCATCAGGATTCTCACAGCAGATAACTAGAAACCAAAACTGGCAACACAACAATGGGTTCCAATCTCTCATGAGACCCTTATAACCCTTTTTCATTTTTGGCTCTACTTTGCCTAGCCTCCTCCCTCTTCTAATATATGAATATATATATATATATATATCTCTCTCTCTCAAGGCTTTACATGTTTGTGAGCATGTATATTTCAATGCTTTTCCTTTGATCACTCCTTAAATTCTATCTATCACAAACACTAGCCATGTACATATAAACTAGAGTAAATAGGAGGAAAGGAAAGGAAAGGTAAAAAAATTTCAACTCTACAACTGATCCATATTATTTGGCTGTCAACTCTTATTTACTACTGCACCCCAATATGTATAACAATAGTTATTGTGGTTATCTAGTGAAGTAGCGTGTTACATTGTGACGTAATGTGTTGCATAATTGATTTAGTACTATTCAGGTCCCAGAAAGCAAACCTAGACTAGATGGTAAAATTAAAGTCAATAAAACATTCTTGATAAAGTACATCCCAAAATGAATTCTCTCCGGTGGAATAGTAGGGCATGTTTTGTCCAGTTCAGCACTTTACACAAATGTTGGAATGCTTAGCAAATATTTTAATTTTTCTTGTAAAGTACGTCCCAAACTTAACGGAACAAGAACATGATGCACCATTCATAGAAGGGGATTTTGTTGTGTTGTAACGCTACGACAGAATTAAACGTTTGTGCTGTAACGCTACGATAGAATTAAACGTACAAGACAGATATAGGGGAGGATATTGAATGGTGCTTCTTATGTGTATAAATGCAACTCGTATTGGTTAACTTACATTGACTTTGTTCGAGTCTGTTATACCGCGATCATGATCGATATTACGAATTATGAGTTTAAATATATATATATACACACACATACATGTACACACACTTTCATACGTACATTGTCTATAATCATGGCCTGTGGCAACAGTTACAGATGATATTGTAGTACCCAATCAAGTAATGGGATCTTTCAGAAATCTAGATTAAATTCTGGACTTGTTTTTGGGGAGTTTCATAAGATTTTAAATTAAGAGAAAGTGAAGGTATACAAAATGGGAGTGTTTTGGGAAATATCACCGGATGGTGATGAGTGGTCACCATCTTCTTTGTCCTTTGAATCAGTTCTCTTGCCCAAAAGTATTGAGCAATGCTATAATGACGAGAGGGACTTATCATATTAACCTAAAGCTTCGAAGGACACACAGATTTTGTGTGTGTGTGTGTGTGTCAAAAGGGTTTTAATGATTTGATTAAAAAATAAAAAATAAAAAGCCTAAAAAAAAGTAAAAAGTGGAGTAGGGTTTAGGAGAGAAATAGTTTTGAAAGTGAATCTGAATGGTGAGAGGGGCTTGTGGACCCCACTTGTTTGGTTCGGAGCTCCCGTCTCCGTATCGTAACTCATTAATTTATGGAGATATTTAGTATTGATTATCCCAACTCAATCTTATATAATATTGTTATCATAACTCATTAATTTATCTAGATATTTAGAATTGATTTTCCCAACACACACTTTTATAAAATGGTTTGAGTGACAATAATTAAAAAATTAGATGTGTTTTCATCATCACATGCGTCATTGCCAATTACTATATTAGAGGTTAGTACGCACAATTTAGGTTTGTTTATTTTTTAAAATAAAAATGTAATCCTTTTCATGTGAAATTATTCTTTGAATTAGTGAAAGAATGTTCTGGAAATCTAACACAGTATTACAATAATAATTTATAAAAAATATATACATATAGAAGAGTGAAAATGGGAGTGAAACTGCAAAGAGGACATTTTTCTATGTGTCATGTGGTTAATTATGTGTGTGTGTGTGTGTTTTTACACTTTTTTGGGTGTTATAATCCTTAAAAATAGGAGAAAAAGTAAAAACATAAGATGTGACTTGTCATTGTCAATGTATGTTCTACAACAGGAAGCTTGTACTCTGCTCAAAATGTCATTGAGTTGGTGTCGGTTGTGTGTGTTGTTCATTTAAAATAGGTAAAATTACATATAAATGGAGTCAAAGTTCCATATTTATTTAGAGGCTGAATCAAAGTTCTATATTTCTCTAAAATGGATTGCTGAGGTGGCACATGGTTTTTTTACTGTTTAGAAATTGTAGTGCCTAAAATACCCTTCCGCGAAGGTACTACTTTTTCTTCGAAGGTACTACTTTTTTGAACTGAAGGTACTACTTTTTGGTGTCCAGGTACCATGTTTTTTAAACACCCGCGAAGGTACTACTTTTTCTCTGAAGGTACTACTTTTTTAAACTGAAGGTACTACTTTCTTGAACTGAAGGTACTACTTTTTTGTTAGGGAAGGGCATTTTAGGCACCACAATTTTCTAAACGGTAAAAAACCATGTGCCACCTCAGCAATCCATTTTAGAGAAATATGAAACTTTGACTCAGTCTCTAAGTAAATATGGAACTTTAACTCCATTTATATGTAATTTTCCCTTTAAAATAAACAGCCTGCTTTAAATACAAAACTAATTATATGTACATTAATTGATTTTCTTCACAACTTAATTTCAATGTCTTTAAAATTGTGTTTCGTCATTTGACTTGGACTATAAAATTTTGATTCAAGTGCTTCAACCTATGAACTTTCCTTAAATTTAAAGCACTTTAATATTGCTATTTATTGAATCATACAATAGGTCAAAGTTCAACAAAGAGGTGGAAGCCATATGCCAGTTTTAGAATTAGCTTAAGATGTGGAAGAGTTCCTCGTCCTCCAAAATATGGGAGCTTTTGATATTGTTCTTTCATATATATTTTTTAATTATTAAAGGTTATCTTATTGTCGAGAATATTCGGAAATACCGAAAATATAGTACTCTCGGTGAAATGCTAATTTATTATTTTCTATAATTACGGTAAACATGGTGTTTCGTTGTCACTAGGGGGCCGAGATAGTTTTTTAACTTTTTTTTCATCATTAAGTAGGTTGCAACTTAATTACCAAAAAAAAAAAAGAAGGTAGGTTGCAACTCCTGGTGAATCGAAATTGGGCTTAAGTACAACCCAATTTTTCGTAAGTGTGGATACTGTTATTAAATTAGGGTAGATATCAGCCGAAAGTTTATAATCCCTGCTTAATTTGGACTGAACTTCCTGTACTTTCTCGTCATCTCAATACGAACCAAATCTGAATCCAAATTCCAACATGACTTATTTCTTGTACCTTTCACTTGATCTTAAATCATTTAGGTCAAAGGTTGGTTAGTGTTGCATGTTTATCATCCAAATTTTATATAGGATAAGATCTCTCTAACATTTTTTTTCACTCGAATTCTAATTTGTAAAGCTTTCATTGCAATCGAATCACCCCTGCCTATCCGGTCTTGACCCGAGCAGCTCTCGGGTGAGCACGCCCAGATGGGCGCTTGACATAATACCATATTATGGACTAGATTTACCTTTGATATCAACGATAATGAATTGGATTGAATGCTCGCCTTTTAACTCAAAAATTTAAACAATTAAGTAATACTGCGTATCCTTCTACGGATAGCAGATCGATCATTGTTATACGTATCTAACGTGGAACAACTCCTCTCCAACATTAAAAGCCTAAGATGACTTCTCAATTCGCCCAACCCCACTTCAGCTACTAACCAAGTAGCTTGTTACTTTGTTATGGTAAAAATGACAATTTGTTCCACCCATAACAAGTGACCCAAGGAGGTCAAACTCTATAGTGTTGCCACGCGCCTCCCATAAGGCGCGTGGAGACAAAAATCTGAAGGGAACAAAGTGACTCTGTCAAAGATAGATTGGGGACCATCTTCATAGATTCTTTCCTTTGCATAGGATCTACGAAACACTGTCACAACCATACAACTTCATTTTTTTTTCTCTGCACACAGACACACACATTCATGTCATAATATATACTATTTATTAAACATATGGTAGAGATAGAAAGTGGGGTGTGCCCACATACATGTTACATCTATGCGTGAGGGTCTAGGTCATTAATTAATTCAGGGCTAAAATTGGAGAGGATTGGTGAAAAATAGTAAATGAATGAAAGCAATGTAGGAATGGAATCATTTTAGAGGGGGGTAAAATGGGAATATGTTTGAGATTGCTTTTGGGACTTTAAAGATAGGGGTTTCCAAATTTGGAATTCCTTCAATGGTTGGGAACTGTTTGGAGTCTTTAATTTTTCTTTGATTGTAGCAAGAATTGTGTATGAAAACCTTGCTTGTTGTCTGTGGTGTGGACTAATCATGATGTGGTGATGAGAATGAATGGGACTTCACAATTGAGGCCGTTGAAGGCCTATTTGGGCTGTTGGTAATGGATCCTTTTCATCTCTCTCTCTCTCTATATATATGGGGAGTCTATTTTTGGTTTTGTTTTTTTTCACTAATTAATACCCAACTTTACATTATTTCTCAACCTCGCAAATCGAAGCATTTAATGGAACTTTGTTTGTGCATGTGTGTGAAAGAGTCAAGTGCTTTAAAGGGGCGAGATAAATACAGCTCCAACTACCACTGCAAGTGGAAATTAATGGTGGTTTGTTATGAATATTTTTTTTTATCTTTTTGGGACAAAAATATGAAGAAATAGAAGATGAATAGTGGGGGAAGGTTGGATTGACATTGGTTTTCATATTACCATTGTAAGTACAAAAATGAAGGGGAAAAGAAAAACCTTTTCATACCGAGCAGAGTTGAGTCCGAGCTCTTGATCTCGTTATAATGCTAAGTGAAGTCCGAGGAGCGCCTAATAAGATGTTTTGATTTCGAATTTATAACTATATATGGCAAGAAAGAACAGGTATTTGGTGTGTCTGGTATCAGAATCATCTTTGCACAGACGGCTCTGATGATTCAAGGCACGATACATCGGGCACACCGAATATATTTTCTTAGAGGAAGAGGGCCGTGAAGTGATATGCTGAAAATGATTTGAGTATTAAGTGTCAAACCCTAGAACAAGAATTATTATATATGATCTGATGTGTTAACTATTCTCTAACTGTATAATTATGTGCAACCACATTAGATCTTGTATTCTTGGTGTGAAAGCTTAGAGTATCCATGTGCATCTGCTTCTCCTGTCCTAAGAAGTGCTATCAAAACTTTCATTGCCATCTGATGATAAATTTTAAGCACACCAGACTTTAAAAAAGGGCCATGAAATTAATTAATCTTACTTCACTTAGTAACTATATATGTATGTGTGTGTGCGCGCGCGCGCGCAAAGTGGTGAAAGGCAATAAGCGTCTTTTCTTCGACATTATGAGGAAAAGACCAACCTGGTTGTTCTCTATTACAGGAATCTATGAAAAGCTAGACAACATAAAATACCCACCGACATGCTCTTGATTGGTTCGAATAATGCTAGAGTATGTGAAATGTGCTCTACATTCACTACAAA